GGTCCGGGCTGGGGATTCGAACCCGCCACCTTAGGTGTACGTGGCTGGCGCCTTAGCCGGTTGAGCTATAGGCGCCGAGCCCTTAGTTAGATTTTAACACCTGTACCCACTCTGCAAGCCCCTGCATCTGGCTGTTAGCTTAGTAGTCTAGTTAGCTTCTACCTAAGGGTTATTCATTCTAGCATCTGCATCTACGCTGCAAGCCCCTGAGTCCAGTGTCAGCCCTGTTGCCTACCCTATCAGTAAGAGGGAACCAGAGCCTGAGTCAGAGACCAGGAGAGTGAGGGAGCCATGGGAAAACTGCAGGCAGGTTATGGTATTCCCGAGGTGGTGGGGTTTGGCGGTCCATGGGGAACTGGCATGATTTAGAGGACTGCTTCTTTTTCTCCTTCTTCCTCTTCCTCTTCTTCTTCCTTCTCCTCCTCTTCTTCTTTTTCTCCTTCTTCTTCTTTTTAGAATAAGATGTTTTAAAAAATCTATACTCAATGAGTTACAGAAATTTTGTGGAAAATCTTACTCTTCTGGAAGATTCCTTGTCTCAGAGATTCTGGATAAAGGAGTACTTTATAAAGGGATTTTTAGCCAAAGATGTTCTTGCTAACCCCAAATTGAGAAATGAATGGGTTCTCTTTGTGAGGCAGTAAGTACAAGGCTCAGAACTTGGAGACACAGCAGCAAAGTGTTTTTAATAAAGTCTGTTTTCAGTCTTACTCTGGTTGCCCAGCTCTTGGATGGTAAGGCCTGTCTCCTCGAATCACCCCAAAGGTTCAGAGGACTTAGAGGTCTTAGCAGGAGTGGATGGAGCGAGGCTTACCCACCATCAGCTCCGTGAAGCTTACCATAGTTCCTCCTCCTTTGAGGGGAACACTCCTTTATTCCCGCCAAAGAGGGCTGACAGTGTTGACACCCAGATACAACTTTCCTTTTTACAGACACTAACAGTGGGCATCTTCCCTCCTTCAACAGGATTAGGACAAAGTAGCAAGGAAAGAAGAGTCTCATGAGTGTGTAGGATCTAGAGACTACAGAACGTTCCTTGCTTTTTGTGCCCCCACCCCCAGTTATGGCTTATATAATATGAATTTTCTAATTTTCTCCTGGGGATGAAATGGACTTGCCATCTATCCATAGATGAAGGAGGTGTTGGCTAATGGCCAAGACTTTGGCTACCCGGTGGAACCATCCAGGGATCCCCGACACAGTGGGGCTTGGTGGTCTACGTCAGTGGCTTCCATACTTTTTTGAGTGTGCCCTTAGTAAAAAATACATTTTACACTGCCACCCAGTAAATGCATGTATAAAAAAAGTTTCATAAAATAGGACTGCTCTATTATTTTATTCAATTCTATTTATCTCAAAAATTCTGGTCATAACCCATTAAATTGATTTATAGTTCAATAATGGGTGATGACCCACAATTTGAAAAATGCTAGTCAAAACGGAACCCGAAGATTCCAAGTTTTTAAAGGTTTCACAAAAATATATGAGAAAGAGGAGGAAATATATGGAAAATAAAAATTATTGAATATTGATATTTCAAGTATATGTTTTTCCCCCCTCCATGAGTTTCATAGGGAAAGAAACTAATCCTTTGTTCTCCAACTGTGGGGAAGAATTTGCCAGCATTAGGTCAGAGTGTCAGATATGCATACCTGGGTGGGCGTGGCCCCTGAGCAGGGGCCTGCCTGGGCTTTGGGCTTCCTTTTGGGCTTCCTTTCCTGGTGTCATGCTCACAGGAATGAAGCTGCTGTCACTGAGCCGTGTGTGTTCTTTTATTATGTCCTGTTCAGGAATAATTTATGTGGGGGTGTAGCCTTCCCTCTGGTTCTGGTAGGTGTTGGGATGCTTTGTAGGACCCAGGACTTGGTCTACTGCTTCTGGACATGGTCTGATGTTGCCGAAGCAGCCTCTGTGGGTCTGGAGCATTATTTTACTCAGCTGCTATAAACTACACATGGAACCCTGGCCATCTGAGGTTTATAGAGATGAAAGCTAAACGCACACAAAAACAGAGGCAAAGATAACAGTCTGATATATATTATTTTGGGTTCATTGAATTGAATGCATGTAAGACTTTTATATGACTGTGGCTAAACATGCTCTGTATCTAAGGTGGCAGTTTAAAGACTCCTCAAAGTGCTGAAGTCCCAGCAGGGGCCTGTCTGGAATTTTGATGCCTCTGCCAGCCTAGGGAGCATCAAGGGGAGGGAGGAGATACACACTCCAGGGCGAGCTCCCTCACCCTCACTCTTCCTGGATGGAGCCCAGGACTGTGCCCTTCCATGCCACATTTTACCTCCACTGTGGAAACTAGGAAGTATCCTCTTCCTTGGTTATACCTGGACAGACTGCTGTAAGTCCATCTGCAGTCATTTGAAGGCAGACACAACGATTGCCCCAGTGCGGTGTCATTCCATGTGAGGAATGGGCAGGAGCAGGCAGGAAGGCTGCCTTTCTTGCCATCTGTATCACTGATCCCTGGGCCATGTCTCAGCATGTGCTTTGTGGCCAATCAAGCCTTGTCCTGGGATGGCTTATTGTAACACTGCAAGTCACAGAGCAGAGTAACAAACAATTCATCAGTAAATTGTAAATGTATCTGGTTTAAGCTTCTATCAGCTGGAAAAGCACAGTGTTGATATAGGTGATGACAACCACAGTCAACATCTGAATAGCTACGTAATAATAACCATATTTTGGCTCAGCGCCTGTAGCTCAGTGGTTAGGTTGCTGGTCACATACACCGAGGCAAGTGGGTTCAAACCCTGCTCGGGCCAGCTAAACAACAATGGCAACTGCAACAAAAAAATAGCTGGGCATTGTGGCAGGTGCTTGTAGTTCCAGCTACTTGGGAGGCTGAGGCAAGAGAATTGCTTAAGCCCAAGAGTTTGAGGTTGCAGTGAGCTGTGACCTTATAGTACTCTACTGAGGATGACATAGTGAGACTCTGCCTAAAAAAAAAAAAAAAACAAAAACCAAAACACACACAAAAACATGTTGAGGATTGGCCGTGGGCTGTGCCAGGAGCTTTGTCTCAGTATTTCTATCTCCATGGCACTGAGACTTGTACATCCCTTGCACACTTAAATACACGGTACAGGGTATTATTAGTCCCATTTTCTTTGTAGGAAACTATAGTTTTGTAGATGTAATTTACCAGGGGAATCTAGGAAGTGACACAACCCAGAACAGCTCCAGGGATGTCTTACACAACCCCTGTGTTTATGACTCATCAACTCTGGGT